CGCTTTATTCAAATTTTTTTTTTTTTAGTATTTTTGTTTTTTTTTCTTTTTGTGTTCTTTTTTTTTTTTATTTTTTTTTTTTTTTTTTTTTTTTTTTTTTAAGCTTGATTCTGGTGACGATCGGTTCCAAAGTTTATATTGCGATCGTTAACCAGAATATGCTTTATTTAGAATTGATGCTACTGTCGCTGGATGTGCTCGTATGTATTTATAGAACGAGTCTGATGTCCGTCTGCCTATTCTCTGGATTAGCGGTAGTTGGACACCTCTTAGCACCAGTTCTGTTGTGCCTCCAGCACAGGAACTATGTCCGCTATATTAGTGCCAGGTAAATGTGATTTTAGCACTTTTGTAAACCAGCTCTTCGTGGCTAGCCTTCCATCTTTCCTAATGAAAAGCGTTTTCTTCCCTGGGGCATATGTAATCTAGTTCTTAGGATTGTGTATGCCTTTAGCGCGCTAATTGGGCATAGCTCATCACTTGTCGAATTAATAATTAGAATGGGGCGTTCTACAATTCTGTGGTTTTTTGTTCTGGGTAATTGTATTGTTGCGAATGTGTTTGCGCCTGATCTGTCAAATTTTAATGCTTGTACTGTAGGTATTTTATTTACATCATTTTGTGATTTAGGTAGCAGTTCTCCCATGCGGGTCAGACTGTTAAATGCTACAAGAGCAACTGACCCAAATAAAAGATCATCCGGAGCCTCTAAATTCATTCTTGCCCTTATATATCGAAGCTGATCTCGTGTGATATGTTCTTTTTGTTGGGATGGTTTGAATATATGATTGTCTTCAATGGTCTTTAGCGTTATCAGAGGATCATTGCGTGTTCTATTCCAGTCTAGATGGTTCATAATATGGTGATGTTTTAACACAGACAAATATGATATTATAGTTTGGGATGCTAGTTTAGGATGTAAATATGATGTATATTTGTAAGGTTCTCTTTTGAAATTGGCCAGATTGATTTGGTTTCATTAATCCATCCGTTTTCTAGTGCTAATTTTTCATAGCGTTTAGTGATTGCTGTATATGTCTTATGTTTTATTGGATTTAAGCCTAAGATCATTGCTGCTTGCTTATTTAGTGGTTGTTATTCTGTCGTACCTGCACTTTCTTTAATTATGGTATATATTGATTCTAAAAAATTGAGTGATAGAATTATAGTTATCAGGTTAGCATATGCTATAGGAATTATAGACTATAAGTATTGGGCTCATGGTTTTTGTAACTTGTATTGCCTGTGACTTTCTCAGGATAATAGATCTGCATCTTTGTTATTTTTGCTAGCAATATGCTCTAGCTGAATTGAGTAGTTTCTATGTATTGAGCCATATATACATCTGCTATTATAACAACACAAATACAATTTTTTTTCACTTTGGCTGTCTTGTTAGTGATCCTTTATTAAGATTATTTTGTTATATGTGTGAGCTTAATATTTAAGTCTGATATCCTGCAGTTACTTCTAAAAGTATTTACAAGTAACCAGGCACACTAGAATGATCTATTTTAAAGATACATCTATGATATAAATTATTATAATTTAGAAAGATCTTGTTAGACCACTGCTTTACAATATATCTGATAACATCTTCTTGTAAGAAAGTGAAAAAACAAAAAAAAATACTAACACTAATACTAATAAAAAAAAAGAAAAGAAAAAATAACAAGAAAAAAAAATCTAACAGTCACAATTATAAGTCTATGTTAGATCTTAAAAATTATAAATTACAAGATAAAAAGCTCTGCATCTAACTCTATCCTAATAATATATGTATCTAAAAAATAAAACACTTTAATATCAAAAAAAATTAAATTAGACTAAATTAAACAGAGTAGTTAAAAGTACCAATAGTCTTAAAATATTGTTGAACAATTTTTCTGGTTGAGACATATAACTCATTTGTGTTGTTATCCAAATATGCTCAGTTGTTTTTTTAGATATTTGGCTAATTTTTTATTTTAGTAAATAAATAATACTAATGCTTTGAAAAAAATATATATCAATCTTTGAAGGGGGTAAGCTAAAATATCTATTTTTTTTTTTAAGGATGTAGTGACATAAAGTAGTGGTTAAGTTGTCACCTCTCAAGCAGCAGGTCTAGAGTTCAATTTCTACCAGAGATATTTTTAGAAAAATAGGCTCATATACTGGTAACATTTATTTGATGATTGGTTAGAAATATTACCTGTAATCTTGGTATTACCATTTTGAAATAGGTCTTTAGAGTGATCCAAATCCAAAAAACTGAAATATTTGAAACCTGTTTGGCAAGACTCGAGCTAGAAGTAGTGAAGATCTTTGACAATATTACAAAAAACCAGAACTAGAGATCAAAAAACCGAATAAATAATCCTGGGGCAAGAAGAGTTCACCAACCTGGCCACCAGAGTTATACCAGAGAAAAAGG